TAGAATTTCAAAGGTACAACTCATTGTGTGTTATATTTAGTATACATTATATATATAAAATGTAAGTATTCTATTATAATTGTTTGTTTATTGTGGGGTGTATTTGATATATATTGGCCAGCCGGATTGGGGAGTGGACCGGACAAAGATAGTACACTGTTTAGTCTGGACCGAACCGGTCTAGCGGGTGACCTGTGAAGCTATGATACCTGAGGTTAACTCAATCTCAAAATGAGAAAATAACACATATATATAACTTGTAGTTATAATTAGCAATAAATAGTCCAATATTAATTAGTATTTAATAAACAAATAAAAAATAGGTACAAAATGACCCGAATTAATAAATAGCATTTTAGTAGTTTTTTTTCCTCGTGTAACCAACCACCACTAAAAAATACAAAAATAACGGAAATGTGGGCTAGTTATTTAATCCATAATTTTAACTCCTGATTGATATTAGTGATTCAGTTTCCATGAATTGCACCAATCCAAAAGCATCATTTTCTTGGTATTTTTATTATTCTCGAAGAATGCCTCATAGACTATGAATTTAGATTATAGTCTTTAGAGGATCATATATAATTGATCAGTAAATTAGTTTTGAGACGTTTTCACGTTATATTCATTATTCAATTTTTCAGATTATATAAATTAGAAATTCAAATAATATTTATTATTATGCTAAATTTTTTATTAATCATGTGACAATCATAACATGATTCTCTCAACAACTAGTACTAGTTGAGTGTCAACCACATCCCACCACAATTTAGAGGCCTTCTACATAGGAAATTATTTTGTTAAAGGGTGAGTCATGTGTTTTGACTTTAAAAGAGAACGGTACCTCATTCTTGTCCTAACCTATACAAAAAAGAAGAAGGTATATATGCACAACACATGTACTCGAAAGTCAATCTTCTTTTGTCAAATAAAAGGATTAAAAGGTCAATATATAGATCAATTTATGTGTATTTTTCTAACAAAAAAGATTTGGAAAATCTTATTTCTTGTTTATTTATTTCCACAAAGCCGGCAAGCAACCAGAGCATGACTCAGGAGTTTTTAATTTTTTATGGTGTTTGACATTATAAATTAAATAGTATTTAAAAAAAAATTGAAAGTCATAACCTTAATTGAAGCAAATATGGACAATCCTCTAAGATTAAATTTAAAAATAAAAGTCCACCTTCAACGTGCACTGAATTAGGGCTATTGCAACCACATTGTCTTAAGTTTTAATTTCTTCTAGTTGACTTAGGGTATGTTCTAAAATATTCTCTCTTTCTTCTTTTTTTATTTTTGCATTTTTCTTTGTTCTTTATTCGTGTTGCCCTTTTTTAATGTCTTCATAATTAATTTATCTCATAATTGATCAAATCTTAGTCTGAAGAATCAACACCCGCCGGCTAATCTAGTACTTTCTTAAATAACTCCGTACCACCCTCTTCCAATAGGGAAACGTGTATTGCGTCAATTTATGCGGCATAATTGAACTTGGTATATGTTAGTTTATATATATATGGTCCCATACACACTTCTTTTTAAATGTAAAATGAGAAGTTTATGGTTCGATATTTTCATATATATAAAAAAATAAAATATTTTTAACGAACTAATCAGAAAATATTTGGATTAAAATAATTGGGCATTATGCGAAAATTTTTAAAGCAAATTAGAGGTGCTACTGGAGGCTCATGATTCCAGCTTCAGGATAGCTCCTCCGCTCCCAATGTGCTTGCATATCTTGTGTCAATAAGTTGTTTGTTACCTCGGGGTCTAGGTCAATGTCCCCGGCCCCTCGAATGTATTCATTGCTGAGTAATATACAGGGTAGGGGTCTATGTATCTCAATCTCCCCTCCCCTTATCACTTAGGGAGCTAGTATCTGGGTGGTTGGAGTTGGAAAAAAGAAGAAGAAGAATTTGGCAAATAAAAAAAAGAAGAGACATATATTAAAAGAGGTATACTATTTTAATATGATTTAATTAGTTGAACTAAGTGCGAGAGAACTAATATAAAAGAAAGTAAAAAATATATGGAGAGAATAATCTGGTCCTAAATATAATATATACTCTTTCAATAACTATATTGTAATGCTATTATATGTTGTTGTAGAAAAAAAAATGTCAATCAACACATAAATCAAGGATATAGAAATTAAATAAGTGCAAAGAAGAACAAACCGACTATGCGTTAGTTTGGTGCAATTCACCAAGGCATGTAAATTGTAATCTCTGATTTCTCCTTCTTCTCATATGAAATTAGAAAGGTAAATGCAAGAAGATGTAGAAAGACTTTAAAATTAGACAAACACCTTCAAAACTAAAAAAACTACTTAAAAATAAAAAATACCTAAAACTAAAATCCAAACGAACACTTAATTACTTTAAATAAGAGAAGAGGAAAACACACATAATTAATACTTCCTTTTACTCTATTGTCTATATCAAGTAAATTGTTGAGACTTTTTCATAATTTAAAATGAGTGAATTATTCAAATTTTAAGAGAATTGTTGAGACTTTTTTAATTTTATATTTTTCTTCATTTAATAAGGTTCTTAACAACTTCAAAAAAAATAATCAAAAGAGAATAGTGAAAAATAGCCTTTAGTTTATCTCATAAAATAGTTTCTTCAAATGATGTGTCATGTCCTAACAATATTCACTTAATATGAACTAGAGTCTAGAGGGAATAAGAAACTATTTTTGGCTATAATGAGTGATATATAATCACACAAAGCTTTTAATTTTAAGGAAGATAATTATTTATTTGTATAGATATTTATTGTTTATTAGAAGGTAATTTTTTTTTGTGTGTAAAAAATTATTGTAGGATTAATGTTTAAGAAAAGGGGCAATATAGTCGTTCAATATATGATTATTTTTTTTAATTCAACTTTTCATTATGAATTTTCTCACTTATCGAATATAAGTATGATAAGTGTGATAATATAATATAATGTTACTTGAAATTAAATATCACACATCTTGTTTATACGAAAATGATGTTTATAACTTGAGAGTTAGACGTTACTATTAGCTGCAATACACAATGTCAAAGTAGTTTGCTTTTAGTTGACTCTACTTCTTCCTCATAAAGAATTTATTTAATTTCACCCATTTGTTTTCCCAACATTAGACTTAGACCTAAATTACTGATTGTGATCAATGATCATCTTTTATTTTAACATTTTGCACTATTTTCTATACAAGTATCAACAAAATAATGGTAATAAGAAATCATTGTGTGAGCTAATCAAAGATGCGTCGGCCGATTAACCACTTTATGTATAGATTAAGTTTTTTCTTCTTCTAATTAATAAATCAAATAGTAATTTACAACATTAAATATATTTAGTTCCTAATTGTCAACCATAAAGAATTGGCCTTGTCCACTGCTCTGGAGACACTTTGTGAGCCAACATTAATCACTATATAATAAGTTAAGAAACATTAGAATTTAGAGATGAAAGGAAATCAAAGAAAAAGTAAAAAAAGATTAAGTACAAAATGTATAATTGTTTCTTGATTAAAGTTAGATTTTAGTGGTAACAATTCCACGTGGCATCATTTAAATGCATATTCTAGTTTCATTGATCAAGTTCCTCGGATCCGGCTCCCCTCCATTACCCTTTCCCTCTATTTCGTCAAGTGCACATCTAGATGAGAGACATGTGTCTTATTTAAAGTTTAAAGGTCAAGATTATATTATATTAACAAATATCATAACCATAATTGAGTCAACTAATTTTAGAAAACTACTCTCTATATTTCATACAAAATTTAATATTTATTAATATCATTAGTTCATCTTAAATTTTTATATTTAAATATAAAAATATAAAAGTTCTTCTCACCATATTAGTTAATAGCTTTTGAAAATCAGTTTTTGCTATTTACGTATTTAATTTCCTCTCGAGATATATAAATTACGAAGAAAAATTTTAATTCCTCAGACACATTTGCAGTTTCTTCTTTACTCTCTCTTTTCTATTTTTTTTTCTTTTAATTTGTTGGGAAGATGCTAGTAAGAATTGGATTTTACCAATGGATGGGTAACGATATATGACTAACGTTATCGTGTTTTACAATATATTCCATACAAAATTTGATATTTATTAATATCATTAATGTCATCTTATATTTTTATATTTAAATATAAAAATATAAGATGAAAATTTAAGATGAAATTAATAATATTAATAAATATCAAATTTTGTATGGAATATATTGTAATTCTTACTAAATTTAGAGAGTAGTTTTTTAAAATTAGTTGACTTAACTATGGTTATGATATTTGTTAATATAATATAATCTTGACATTTAAATTTTAAATAAAACACATGTCTCTCATCTAGACGTGCACTTAATAAAATGGAGGGAGGGGATAATGGAGGGGAGCCGGATCCAAGTTCCTGTGTCATTGCTAGCTAATTAAACAAAGTCCTTCACACACAATCATAAAAAGGTTTGGCAAAATAAATAAATAAATCAAGACTATATAGAGAGGAAAAGATGAAGTAAAGTTAGCTAACCAATTTCACACTAAAAAAATGTACATATTATATTTTTAATTAGAAAAATATTACCGCCCGGCCCGTGGCTTAAGTATGCGCAGGCACACAAGTTGAAATTAAAAATTAGTGATTTTAAAATTGTCTTTGGACATGTATTTTAGCTTGGAAAAAATTAACATTTTAACCCCCACTTGTACATGGAGCTAGTTTTGACCCCCCGCATGTACTTGGAACTAGTTTTAAAGACTTGAAAATATTAAAGATCAAATTTTAAAGTCTAATATAAAATCTTTTATTTATGGTAAGCATTAAATATCCGAAGATATATTTTCCAAATAAACTAATCCAAATCTTTTGATGGTCAAACAAATATTTAATAATAAATTTATATCTATATATAACCAAATGCTAGCTTATATAAAGGGATGATTTCTCACTTTTTATTTCATCACATTCTTCAAGTTGTAGCCTTTGCTTACAATGGGACATCAAATTTTCTTGCTTGTTTGCACCATAGCTCTTCTAGCTTCTTCCTCATTGGTTTCAGCTGAAGTTGTTAAACATTCTTTTCATGTACGTATTACTTATATATCTTCTTTATTTTATATGCAAAAAATAATATATATAGCTTGTCAATTTAAACCTTTTTGTCTTCACAAAACATAATATTGTTGTTGTTTCATAGATATGCTCACATCAATCATTTTTTTCCATATGTACCCTATTTAATTCTTTTCATCTATGACAATTTTTTGATTTTGCTATCTTTTATTCAAATATGATTGACTTAATATATAACTCCATCTTGAAAATAAGTTGTTATTGCGTTAGACGTTTTGATATGATAAAATAATACTTATTCTCCCATTGACATTATTTAAACTAATAAAGTTTTAAGGTCGTCAACGACGTAAAACTTAATTTGCAATAATTTAAATTTATATTGAACTCTTTAAATCTTATTACGATCGCAATTAATTTAAATATTATGATACAATGATAAAATAATATCCTATCATATATATATATACAAAATTATATAATAAAAGTTTAACATGTCTTTGAAAATATAAAACTTGATATAATTTATAAAATATTACACTTCAAATATAAGAGTATAGTATAATTTTATGCAGCATTTTTGTGTTTGAAACAGAATTAGGATTTTGAATTTGAATTTTATCCCCATATTGATCAGTCAACATTTTTTTTTTTTTTAAAAAAAAGAGCCTTTTTAGGTATTATAAATTTATAAAATGACAAATAAACCAATTTTAAGTTGGTAATAATTTGATGGGTTGGATTTTGACTTGTTTGTAACTCAATTTCAACTTGTTTTGATCATCCTAATTATATAAAAAGAAAAAAAACAATTTTTATTTTCAGAGCCCGAATTCAGCAAGGAAGATATTAGTAGCGGAGAATGAGACTAAAAAAAGTGTGGATGGCATTTTGAAAGACTTGGACATTAAAGGGAGCATTGATTATGGAGTTAGGGCAATAAGCTTAGGCAGTAGAGATTTCGGCGGCTTATATTCAGATAAGCCGTTAGCCGTTATAAGTCCAGCCGGAGCCGATGATGTTGGGCAGGTGATAAGGCATGCATTACAGTTACCAACATTAACGGTAGCAGCGAGGGGTAACGGTCATTCAGTTAACGGCCAAGCTATGGCCCATCTTGGACTCGTAATCGACATGAAATCAATGGCTGATAATAAAAAAATCAACGTCAACGTCAACTACATGTACGTTGATGTATGTGGCGGAGCATTATGGGGTGATGTATTGAAACACTGCGTTTCAGAATACGGCTTGGCTCCTACATCGTGGACGGATTATCTTGATTTAACCGTCGGTGGTACTCTATCTAATGCCGGTGTTAGTGGTCAAGCTTTCCGTTTTGGACCCCAAACGTCATCTGTAACGGAATTGGAAGTTGTTACTGGCAACGGAGAAATAATTGTCTGCTCAAACTCTCAAAATTCCGAATTGTTCTTCTCTGTTCTTGGTGGACTTGGTCAGTTTGGTATCATCACTAGAGCTCGGGTTTTACTTCAACCCGCCCCAGATATGGTCAGTATCATTTTTGTAAAATTTAAAATTCTCATTCGGTTTTCAATAATTTATTTTTGTGTATTAATTAGGTGAGGTGGATAAGAGTGGTATATAGTGAATTTGAAGATTTCACTCATGATGCTGAGTTACTAATAACGAGTCAGGAAACGTTCAATTATGTGGAAGGGTTTGTATTCGTGAATAGTGACGACCCGGTAACTGGGTGGCCCTCGGTGCCATTGAATTCCAATCAGTCATTTGACCCGACCCTTTTACCCAAAAAGACTGGTCCGGTTCTTTATTATCTTGAATTGGTCTTGCATTATAACAACCACGACGATCCCTCCACTCTAAATATGGTAAATCTGTCAAATTTCAAAACTTTTTCATTTTTTATCCCTCCCTCTTAATTTTTACCATTGCTATGTGATATTAACGATTTTTTTTTTTTTAAATGTTAGATGGTTGAGAAATTGCTAGGCAAATTGAAATATTTGGAGCACTTTAAGTTTGAGACCAACTTAACTTACATGAATTTTTTATTACGAGTTGATCACGTAGAAGAAGCGGCTAGAGGTAGTGGTATATGGGCTACACCTCATCCATGGCTTAACATGTTCATTTCCAAGAAAGATATTGATGCATTCAATCGGATTGTGCTCCAAAACATTTTAAAAAGTGGTGTTAATGGCCCTATATTGACTTATCCTCTCCTGCGTAGCAAGTAAGTATATTCTTATCTACATTTTATGTTCCTATGTTTGCTATATAATATTATTGAAATGATTGTTTCAAAAAAATCAACTTTTAATTGACCCCAAAATTTGATTACTTATGTGTTTATTATTAAATCTATTATATTGGCCATGATCGATTTATGACGTCTAGTCTTTAGCTTATAAGCTAGTTTTAAAAAAAGTAAATCCAAACATCCCATTAGTCAAGTGTTGTGGTGGCAGTCATAGAATATGGTTTCCCACTTTTTTTTTTTGGTTACTTTGGTTCCATAGTTAATATTACTCTATAATACTAATAGTAACGTACGTAGATTAGTATTTTCTCCTTTGAAGTTTTGGCCACTAAAAATTAATGTTTCATTAGGTATTTTATTGTTTCAATAATATATTTTTCTTTTTTTCTTGAAATTAGGTGGGATAATCGATCGTCAGTGGTGTTACCCCAAGATGAAATCTTTTACTTAGTGGCTTTCCTAAGGTTTACTCACACACATCCAAAAGAGTCAGAAATAAAGCAGATGGTGGCACAGAATCAAGAAGTTGTACAAACTTGTATCAAGAATGGATTTGATTTTAAATTGTATTTTCCTCATTATGAGTCCACAGTTGAATGGAAGAGGCACTTTGGGGATCAATGGGAAAGATTTGTCGATAGAAAGAGACAGTTTGATCCAAAGGCTATCCTTGCACCTGGTCAAAAAATATTTACTAGAAATCATATACTATAATAAATATATATTACTTGTGAGGTAGGCCAATTGATTTCTCCATTTGGGGTCTTTTAAAATTTTTATTGGATATTTTGATGTGATTCTTAAGAAACAACTCTAAAAGGATGTAAATGAAATATTCAAGGATGTCAATTCATTTAACAATTGACTATTATATTTCAATTGAATAAATGTGAATTTAAATCTATTTTTATTTCATTAAAGTATGAATATTCGTACAAAAATTTACTTTTATGATACCCAAAATTATGGCGAAGTTGTCACTTGACATTTATATATTAGTTAAATATTCTTTGTATCTATTTATAAACATAGTGATTTATCATAAAGAAATGGATGCTAATGCTAAAGAACAAGAAAGAAAAACACAAAAAAAATTTAATTATCGTCTTCCTCTTTGAGCATTGTTGAAAGTTACTTTACTTTACTCTAGAATTTTTTAAATATTTTTTGCCAATTCAATTTAATTACTTTAATGAATTTAATTTTGTTCATTGATAATTGATATAAAAATAGAGGATATTTTAAACAACAAATTAATTTTATAAAACATATTGTGTGTTATTAATTGATTTCATTTAAAAAGAGATACTCTTATACAATTAATATATTATTTGTGATAAACATGACATAGATTGATTCTAATCATCTTCCTTTCATAATTGGTGCGTTTGTTACTTTCAAATTTCGATATACTTTTATGTTATTTGGCCCAAACAACAAACAATTTCTAGAATATGTTAGTTGCGACACAAATAATAATTTTTTTTCATACCTATGACAATCTAGACATTTTAAAGTTTCACTTATGAGAGTTGTGATGAGGCACAAAGTCATGACACCGTCTTGTCAATGTGAATTATTGAAATTTTAAAATTATTTGCAAATATCACTACTCGACCACATTTATATTCGCTCATGTTGATAATTTTTTTTTATCGTTATCGATCATGTGATTGGAGCATCTTGAATCAATGATCCACTATGCTTATAATTGATCAATTTCCCATTTACAAGTACAAGTGCAAGCTCCTTTTTTATGTTATAGAGTAAGAGGTGACAAGCTCATCCCGTTGATTGCATTCTTCAATTGCATAAGAGGTTTTGAAATTTCAAGTTTCTTTTTCATTATTTTTCTTTGTAAAATTTGTCGTAAACGTGTCCCCAACTTTTTTTGGGTGTTTTGATATTTTTAATTTATTGCATACTTGATATTTCCTGCTTTAAGCTTTTAACTTTTGGCCACTTCAATATTACTTGGTGGTGTAAAGTCTGAGCCATAAATAATATCACACAATTCCTTATCGAAAAAATAATATTGTATCCTCGAGCTCCACGATCCATGGTTGCTTGTGTTGAGCTTCTCAACACCGTTGAGAGTGTATGTGAAATTCGTCAATGATTAGTATCTATCACGACCTAGGGGTACCCCTAGGTGTAACAAGGCACATAGAACCCCGAAAGGCTCCATGTAAGCCACTTAGCATATCACAACATAAGATAATAGAAAAGTGCGGAAATTTAAAACACTTTTAATACAATCGAAGTCTTATAAAACGAAGCGAAAGTCTATTACACTTGTCTCAAACCATCTAATACTTGGAAAGAGTTAGGGACACAACCCATAAAAAATATAAACATAAAAGAAAGACATAAAAGGAAAGGGTGATCAAGTCCTCGATGCTATGAGGACTCACCAAAACTTCTCTTCTTGATCTACTATGAACCTAGCCATGAGGATGGAAGTCAATATCGCCGAACCCTATATTTGATAAGAATGTAGACAAAAGTATGTGTTAGTACAATAATGTACTAAATATGATGGCTAGGAGCATATAAGAGGCATTAGTCAACATAAAACATATACTATAATCATAAGAGATAATAACATAAGTCATACGCATAAGAGACATCATCATAAGACATAGGCTATAAGCATAAGAGATAACAACATATCCATAGGCATAGTCAATGCATGTAGTTTAACATAACATAAGAGAAACACTTCATAAGCCACCACAAGGCAAGCTTGTGCAATGCATGGATAAGATTCCATAATCCCACCCATGCTAAGCAAGTCACTTTAGGTCCTCATGCATAATTATCATCCTTGATCTCATCCTTAGCTTATTTCTCATAGACAAGGGAACATTCACCTTAAGTCACACATGTATTGGAAAACAACTATAGCAACAACCAAACTAGGCATACATCATAAGCATATTCATTACATAGATCATCATAACACAAGAGGAACATATCATAACTACCCTCAAAGCATACTTGTGCAATGCATGAATAAGATCCCATAATCTCACCCATACTAAATAAAGATTCTTAAGTAGCCATAGTTCATAATACATATTCTTGTTCATATTGTTGTCATAGTGGGAATAAGCCTTAACCGACATAGACTATGTGAGCTTAACATGAAATCCGATGTTACCCACACCAAAAATGGTTGCTATACTTGCCTAAAGTAGAACCATACTCTTAGCTTAGGTGGATCCAATAGCTAAGTAACCTACGGGGGCACGTAGTTTATGGGATAAGGAGATTTCTACAAGAAACCCGGACTCAACTAAGGTAGAAGGTCTCCATCTCATGAGATACATACATTGGGAACCCGGACTCAACTAGCGTATAAGGAACCCACTTGCAAAGCCGGACTCAACTAGTGTAAAAACTTTCATTGGGAAGCTGGACTCAACTAACGTACAAGCTTCCATCTCATATTCAATATCCACTCAGTGCTAAGCATAATTCCCACGGAGTTCATATTAAGTCTTGACTTAAATTCATATTTATGGATGAATGTATTGACACTCAATCCAACATAATTCATAAGATAGCTCATAGATTCAATAGGTGAGAATAGCCTTTCAACCTTAGAATAATCATATTGTGAGAAAGCCTTTCCCATCGTGTTCATTATGTGTTCATGAGAATAGCCTTTCAATGAATCACAACAACATTATCATAATCATGGGCACTTCATTCATAGTCATGCATAAGTGTGTATGTGAGAATAACCTTTCAACAACACAATAACTAGATCATAATCATATTCACTTTACTCTAAAAGTGTTCTTAAAGCATATACATAACCTTCACATAACATGTTTAATATCATATATTGCCCTTTCAAGGGTCAAAGCTCATATCAAATTAACACATCTAGAATGACTACATTAGACATGGATATAATCACAATTCAAGTAATCAATTCACCACATGCATAATCTCATATACTCATAATATAGGTCATACGGGTAAAGTCCTTCCACAATAATACCATATACAAATCAACATACATAATAGCTTCACTCTTAAAGCCTTAACATTCCTAGTTCACTCATATTAGCTTTTACCCTCAAGGCCCTAGAAATCACATTCATACTACAAGCCTTACTCTCAAGCAATACTTCACATGGTCATCATATATGCCTAATTCTCAAGACAATCTAACCACATGCTTCATTATTAAGTAATTATAATCATGTATCATCATATAAACTCAATCTCTACACTACTAATCATGATTCATCATATAAGCCCTAATCTAATCAATTCATGTCTATGAGTTTTAATTTTAAGCAATTCATATCTAGGTGCTCTAATCTCAAGCAATTCATATCTAGGTGCTCTAATCTCAAGCAATTCATAAAGTAATTCATCAATCTTAGAAGATCACATCTAATCCCTCAATTTCCTTCTTCATGGTATAAAACCAAACTATATCAATTTCACCCTAAAATCTTAAGTTAATCAAGAATACATGTAAATCATACTAAAAATATGTAATTACATCATAGCCAATCATAAACAACCATTCTCCACTCAGTTAGCTCAACATACAACAATACCCACAATATAGGAAAGAACCCTAATTAGAATTGGGGATTCATCTTCACAATTGAGGGAAACACGGGGGCTTCATGGATGAAAGGAGTCCATGAATGAATAATCCATCATGCCTTGATTATAAAGTTTATCAAGCTTGAAAACATGGAGTGTTGACCTAGCTTGAACCTCTTCTTCTTCGTCTTCTTCTTCTTCTTCTTCTTCTTCTTCTCCTTCTCCTCCTCTTCCTCCTCCTCCTCCTATTTTTCTTCTTGTTGTTGTTGTTCTTTTTTTTTCTTCTTCTTTCTAGAGAGAGGAATTTTTAGAGGGAATTGGGTTTGTTTTGGGGGTCTTGAAATAATGATTTGGAATCACTTAATTAAGGGTCTAAATTCTTTATATAGGTTGTCTAAGTAAGGTTAAAATGACACCACTTAACCCGCTAATTAATTTCGGAAAGTTCCATTAACCCCTCACTTAACCGCTTAAAACAGTTCACTCCCTCATCCACGAGACCACGCCCATGGGCCGTGGGTGGAACCACGGGGAATGCTGGTCAATCGTGGGTGGTGTTCTGCAGTCTGTTTTGGGACCCTGACCCACATCCCCTCATCCACGGGGCTTGGACCCCCTACGGGGCGTGGGTCACTGTTTTGGGGCAGAATTTAGGGTCCTCCTCAAGGACCTTGGTTGGTCCTTGGGGGGTCGTACCTTGACGTTCTAACCCGAAACCCTTCATTTTAAGTACGGGGAGTTATATCTATGACTCTAACCCTCACATAAATCTCTAGTTTAGCCTACTAGTTTTCGGAGTGTTACAATATCTCCCCCTTGGGAACATTCATCCTCGAATGACGATCTAGACACCTTACGGAAGTAAAGACTCAAGACTAGCAACCCATCATGCATGCAACATCAACATAATGCAAAATTCAAAGGAGGTAACATCAACTCCATCACAAACATATTCAATGCATCACAAGGAAGTAGGAACTACATCTAACAACCCATTATGCATGTAAATTCATCATTTCTCATGTTCATAGGAGGAACTACCTTCTCCAACTAAAAGCATGTTCAACACAATATCATAGAGCCCTTATGCAACATTTTTCAAAAAGCACAACTAAAGCATGTTCAACAAGTCATCTCATGGAGCCTATACACAATTCTTACTCAATGCACTTCAACATGAGGAGAATTAATCATGCAGCTTCATTTTCTTTCAAAACACAAGATTTCATGAATATGCATAACATAAGGAAATCATGGA